TAGCAATCATTAAGTTAAGTGGTCTAAATGTATTTATCTGTATTTCTATATTCTGTGGAAGGCGTAGGACCAAGAAATGTTCGTCCAATCAAAACGCTCGGTCCGAGCGTTTTAATTGGCTTTCCTACCTGCCTGTCAACGTATGTATTAGCATACCTCTGCGCACCCGGTTCGCGCAGACAGGATACGTCATCAGCGCGTTCACGCACGCTGTGCAGACGGAGAGAGAATGGCAGACAAATATCAACAATCCGATCTTCCTTCCTGATATTGTAGTACTTTTAAAGTTTTCTCACCGGTGAATGACACATGATGTAGCCCAGCGGTTCCCAATTCCTGTCCTCGTGCCCCCCAGCTCTGCATATTTTGCATGTCTCGCTTAGTTAACACACCCGATTCAGATAACCAGCTTGTTAGAAGTGAGCTACGTGCATGAACTGTGTTCCGATCGATATGATCCCTACACAGTGTTCATTGCTCCCTACTCCCTGAACAGGGGAAATCCGTTGAAGTTTACTTCACTTCGGAACATTCATTCACGGATTTGCGCTGTGCAGCGTTTTCACACACATCACACACACACGTCTTCACATCCAGTGCGAGGACTGGAATTGGAATGGATGTAGCCTATTGTAGTAATGTTGTCTCTGGTATTCTGGTCTGTGAGCATATATGCATTCAGGGGGCGTGGCTTTGGACGGCGATTGCAGGGAGGGTGGGATGTTCACTTTCAGTGCTATCAGGCTAAAGTTAGCATTTTCCAAGATCTCCTACTGCACCTTTAATGCACAAAATAAACATGAATGAACATCAGAGCATATTTTAATTTCAATTGCGGAAAGATGTCAATGCACCATTTTCAATCTTAAGTCCACCGAAATTAAACTACTCTCCTGTCTGATTTGTTTGTCGGACAAGATGGCAGATTCTGCGTTATTATTGGTCAGATTGCCTGTCAATCAAGCTCTTTGCGAAGGGTCAGTTGGAGTTTGCTTTTTTTGCAACATCCAAGTAATCTCGTTTGTCCATTCTAGATCAGTGGCTTTCAGTTCAGCTTCTTGGGACCCACAGCACTGCACATTTTGCATGTCTCTCTTAATATCCAACATGTTGAATAATCCAAAAGTTGACAATTGCGCATGCGCTCTGTAGATTATCACGTGGAACGAAGCGATTCCCAATCAGAAAACGAGCTGATGGAAGCCGGAAGCATTACTCACCTCCAGCTCAATCTGTAACATGTAAAGTCCATGTTCTCGAAGTCTCCACAACTTCATCCAAATATTTTTTATTTCCATGACTTTTCTGTAAAAAGCCATCCAAACAATATTATCGCCATTTCTTCTTGCCTGTCATCCACCATTTGTTTACTTTAAAGTCACGTTTGATTGCGAGAGATTTTGCGAGATTTCCTGTGTTCACAGTTGGGACTCTAGTTGTTTGTGAATGGAATCGGTTAGTGTGTGGTGTGCTGTCACATTGCGGCACTTCACACGCTATAGGAACAGAACTGTTAAATCCATGAATTTTTTTTTTTATTCTTATGTGTGGTCTCTCACATTTTGAAAATCTGATTTTAAAAATCTTTTAGCGTGGGCCACCCTTTATCTGACACTTCATTTTAGTTCATTGATGTCTCTGCTGAAAAACTGATGGCCTGAATCAGGTGTCTTAAATAATGGAAATGTATAAAATGTGCAGTGCTATTGGTCCACGGGACCTGGACTAAAAAAAGATCTTGATAAAGAAATCAGATATTTCAGTATGAATCCATGAATTTTTTTGATCTATTCTCAGTGATGGTCTTATTTGTCTCTAATTTAATTTCTCTAAAGGGATTTAAGAAGAGACAAAGTTGATACTTTATTGCAACGTGGCAAAACATTGTCTCTTGAGCTATGAAAGAGCAACCTATGAACGATAGTTTTCCTCTGGGTATCATCTTTCATTGCTCTCTATGTACAACTAAACTGTACCACTAAACTCTAAGCTGCTAACAACACTTGGAGAGTGAAAAAGGAGCTTTAAAAAGAGGAAAAATAATACATTTCATAGCAGTTCCTCACTTGTTTCCTCAGGCTGATGGTGTAATGCACCTGACAACAAGAGCAGTCAGATCTGTGTGTTCTTTGCCTGAGGAGTCATTAGTGTGAAAACACTGTTATATTTTGAGGACACTGCTTGATTGGTTTGTAACATTTAGAACTCGTTAATGGCTTTTTACTTAGACGAACCTTAAGTGACCTGCATTGGGAAGGCTGTTGGAAGCATCATGTGTTGTAGCCACAAAAAGGCTATTCAACCCATTTTTAAGGAGGTTTAAAAATGCCTCATGAATGCATGTAACCGGGCACTTGTTAAATAACTTCATAGACTGTGATTATAAACATCCAGCCTTAGCATAATGAGCAGTACAGTCTTTTGAATAAGGCTGATCATTATGAGGGTGATGACATTCATTAAAGACTCGCATTTACCAAAGTTTAATAGTGTGATCGTGGTTGCCGTCTCCTAGCAACAATTTGTTCCAGTTGACACAGAGAATTGTATTCCTTAGTGGAAGACCATTATCATTTGGGTAATCCTGGATTTTCCAACTTAAAACTGAAGAAAAAATCACTAGCGAATGACAGTATAGGTACTAAATGCTGGACTGATGGGTCTTAAAGGAGTAGTTCACCTAAAAAAATTAAAATTTGTTGAAAATGTACTCACCCACAGGGCATTTTAAGATGTAGATTAGGGCTGCACGATAAATCGCATGCGATATTTAACGCTGACAAGATGCGCGTTAAATATCGCATGCGATTTATCGTGCAGCCCTAATGTAGATGAGCTTTTTTTCATCATCAGAACAGATGTAGCGTTGCGTCACTCAGAGATGAATGGGTGCCGTCATAATGAGAGTTCATACCACACTATTCCAGTCCATCGATTCATATCTTGTGAAGTTAAGAGCTGCATGTTTGTAATAAATCCATCATCAAGATGTTTTTAGCTTTAAACCGGCTAATATACAAATCCTCTATCCATAATAAAGTTGTCTAGGCTAAATCAGGAGAGAAATATGCACAAATAAAGCACCTTTACAAGCAAAAACAGTCCAAAGCAGTTGTAAACAAATATGTCAAATATTGGTATTGGTCAGAATTTTAATATTGGTGCATCCCTGTCCTACATTTGTAGTGCTTTTTATTGTGCACTTTATTTTGCTTCAAAATCTTGACCACTATTCACTGCCATGATAAAGACATTTTTTTATATATTTCCTATTATATACGTCTAAAAGAAGAAAGTCATATACGTACACCTAGGATGGCTTGAGGGTGAGTAAACCATGCCGTAATTTTCTTTTTTTGGGTGAACTATCCCTTAAAGGCCATAGGCACCATGACTGACTGGTTTATAAAGTGTTTCAAAGTAAATCTTTGAAATGTATGCTCTGTCAGTTGCAAAAAGTAGGCCAGGTAATAGAACATGGCCAGCTACTTATGAGCAGCTATGCATAAAACTTATTTGACCCATGCATAAAATTACATTTCTGAATGGTGACCCATAGCTAAGTTTTGCTTTTGTTATGGCTGTGTAGCATCAATTAATAACCCCTGTTGACATATGGAGTACAGTAGCAGGAAACAATGACTTCATCCACTAGAGAGAAGCATCCATTCCATTTTCATCACCTTTGCTTCTCTGTTAAGATGAGGGAGAGGTTCCCAAGAGCTGCTATGCTCTGTTTTGCAAGATGTGTCCTTGAAAAACCTCTAGCTTCTTTCTCCCAGTGTATGTATGCTTTCCCTGTTGAAGTTTTCTGTATGCATGATTCATAAGATTCTAATATGCTACTACTGTATGCTTGATCAAGTTTATATTTTAGAAGTGGTCTTAAGCAGATTGATTGCCTTCAGATGTAATATCTCTTACAAATTGCTTACCTGGTGTTTATAGTCTCTGCATTTTAAATTCGAAACATTTGAACAGTAGTGTAATCTGACTTGATTGATGTATTTTTATAAACTTTATACAATTCTGATGCGCCACTTAATTTTACATCTATTCACTATAGCATTGATTGGGCGATAGACCTTCTGTAATGTATTAAAGTTTGTCTCTTGCTTACAACTGAATGATGTGGAGGGAAATTGGATTTAAGAGCCTTACTAGTGACATCAAAGGGCTGCCAAAGCCCAGAGCCACATGTGGTTGGTGTTTGCTGTGGCTATATCTGGAGTATGTGTATGCTTTATTTGTTTTGATGTGGAGGATGAAAAATTGAAAATGCTCTCTATAATTTTTTTATTTTTTTTCTTCCAGCAGGCCTAGTGGTTCTCTTCAAAGGTGTGACTCAGAATGTGACATTTAGGACCCTTTCAAAATCAGGCCTGTCATGGATCACACCAGTGTTACTGTGAGAGCACTCTGAAGGTCTCTGTGCTTGAAGTGTCCTTCAAAAAGACATCACAAAAGACAAGGGTGATTCTCAAGTGTATTGTCATCTTTATCAACGTTTTATCAAAACCTTCTTTTACGTGATCAGTATAAAGCAGATAACGTAGGCAGATGATTGTAATTTAGAGCTGACTCTGGGGAGTTCTGCTAGCTACTGTCATGACCTTCCTATCGCGAGGGGTCACATGAGCTTCCTGCCATGGAGAAAGAGAACACAAGACAGAGTTCAAAAGACATTTCCTGGAAGAGAGAGTAATAGTGACATAAAGGGTGACAAAGGTTCTTTGTTCTTTAATGACAAAGGTTTATTCTTTATACTAGAGACACAGATTGTTTGTGCATTTACACTGCTTTTCAAAGTTTTGGGTTGTTATTTTATTTCTCTTTTAATGTGTAAAATATGCTCACCAAGGCTGGATTTATTTGATTAAAAATGCAGTAAAAACAGTAATATTCTGAAATATTAAAATTTTTAAATAACCGTTTTGTGTATATATATATATATATTTGGGTGAACTATCCGTTTAACAGGCCAAACCACACTTACCGGTGGATCTGCATCTCCAATCGCAGCGAAATCGTTTCCTCTCTCCAACATCTTCCACCCTATAACCCGGACACAGATCGAACTCAGCTGTCTAATGATAGAAATGTAGGGGAAAAAATCAGAAGTGGTTCAAATATTGACTTATCTTAAGATATAGTTTATATTCTTTATTTGGTACAGAAGTGCAAAACTTACCCCTCATCCAGTCTCAGACTCAGACAAACAATGCCTGTAAATAAAAAAATAAAAATAAAAAAATTATGTAGGGAGAAAAAAAAAAACTTTAAAGTGGTTCAAATATTGACTTATCTTAAGATATAGTTTATACTCTTTATTTGGTACAGAAGTGCAAAACTTACCCCTCATCCAGTCTCAGACTCACAGACAAACAATGCCTGTAAATAAAAAAATAAAAATAAAAAAATTATGTAGGGAGAAAAAAAAAAACTTTAAAGTGGTTCAAATATTGACTTATCTTAAGATATAGTTTATACTCTTTATTTGGTACAGAAGTGCAAAACTTACCCCTCATCCAGTCTCAGACTCACAAGCGTGTGCCTGTAAAAAAAAAAACTAAAAATTATTCAACTTAAAATTACTTGTAAACAACACACACACAAGCAAAGACATTTTCTATACACCAGCCTCATAACCCTTTAATAACCTGAGTTGCCTAAAAAAAAATATTAAGATGG